TTTTATCTAATTCCTTATTCAATAAGCTACTCATATTATTTTTAGTTGTTCGTAATTTTTTTTTTTAAAGAAATAAAATTATTCTAAAGAATATATATTTCTATACTCTAATAGTAATGAATTGACTATGAGATGGATTATTAGCAAATATTAGCACTCAAATTTCTACTATTCTCATCCCTTGTTTAGTTTGGCTAAATAGATTAACAGAAGTTAATAATTAATTTTAACCAAAATTTAATGAGATACACAGTTTTTATCTATTTTTCAACCATATAATTTACCAATTTTTTTTTAATCAAAATTTACTAATTTTTAGCTAAATAAAGGATAATTGATAAACTTAAGATCAGTTATATAAATTATTTTCGCTGATTCAATCAGTGTTGCATCGTGTTGGGTGAAAATTTCAAAACCAGTCGAGGTCGTACAAAAATTATCACTCGTGCGAAAATAAATTCTAGCATAACAACAAAGGAAAGTACAAATATCTTTAGTAGTACAAATACAGTTGCAGAAATAATTATTATTTGCTGGACAGATTCTTACAACCGGACATGTAAGATTCCATTTTTTTCTGAATTAATTATATATTTTAATTCGTTAATTATCACTTACATATAGTTCGTGGGGATTCTCATTTAGTCATCAACAAATATATTTTTTGTGAAAAATTTACATAAAAATAATTTTTCGAACTTTACCTGTAGAAAAAAGTGAAAAGTTCAAAAATTCAAGTAGAAAAACCTTAAAGCAAATCGAGAACCATATTGAAAATATCACTATTTAAATACACAAGTCGTGCTAGAATTGAAATTATAAATTTTTGAAACTAGAATAGGCTATAATAGAAAAGTCTTAATATTCATTTGGCAAAATTTATAGGTTATTAAACTTCATTTTCAATCACATATTCTAATAAATTCATGAGTACTATCATTTATCCATTACTAATTTATATTTATTTATACGTAAATTAAATCGTTTAAAATTTATTTTCAAATGAAGGCTTTAAATGTAAATTTAACGTTACAACGGACACTACATGATTTGCTATTACTGTGTGTGCCAATGTCCTCCTTGATTGTTTTAACTCGATAACAAGAGTTGAATCAATGGCTTAGATGGTTGAAAATAACTTGTCTAATGCTTAATTATAAGAAATAAAATGGTTGAAGTGTTGATTTTAGATTGCACCTACCATTGTACCTTTTGTTGGCTTTACAATACAAGGACTTAAATTATGGTGGTTGGTGAAACTTACCTAGTCATTTGGCAACTATTTTTCATAGAGAACATGCTTAACTTAGCATTTCACATCTTCTATATTTTTTTTAGATAAATATTCCAATAAGAATTACTTGTCTCAAGTTTCTATTGAAGTCGAAATTTCATAAAGATCAATTACTAACTTAGTCAAACTCATACCAATTCAACTCAACAAATGTAATTATGCACTTATACTTTGATCAGTTTTATGTGAATTTTTAATGTACCATGCATTTGCACGTTAGTATTCGATAACAATTTATAGTAAATTGAATCCTAACTAGGATTCTTTGCCTTTTATCGAAGTTGTGGAGCCATGCCCATCGCAACGTATGGTTATGCTTCAAGTTGTTGTATGTTTCTTTATTAGTTTGAACACGCTTCATATGCGTGATACTTGATTAAAGGATTAGAGATTTAAATATTCTTTTATATGACCAAAGTTAGTGTGGCATCATTTTCCAAGCCAATTTATTTATTTGTTTGTATTTAACACATTTATAATTCTCTTTCATTTGTACAAGAACTTAATCCATCCATAAACAGTGCAAAAGCGGAATTAAATTTTTTAAAACAAGAAGAATGTTGAAAAGCTGGAAAATTTTGTAAGAGATAATTTAATTATATTGAATAATTGTTTAAAAATGTTATAAAATCATTGTTTACATATGCAAAATAGTGTCGAAATCTTGACGATATAAGAAAAATAAAAAATGTTACTAAAACGAAAGAAAATAAATATATTAAAGGAAACACGGTCCTAATTTAAACAGAAGTAAAAACCTACCATAATAATAATTAACTTCTATACTTTTTATAATAGGATCGTCCTAGATCATTCTTCCTCACTTATCGAAAAATAAAAATAAAAAATTCCTCGAATCTGGTGGAAAAGAGAGAAAATTAATCACTTGGGAGAAAAATTACCCCCAAATTGAGAATTTTGTACCTGTATTAGCACTATTAATATCTACAAATATGAAGAAAAATATTTTTTTTATGTCACGCTGCAATTTTCTCAAAAGGTTTAATAATTCAATCTCCCATCTTAATGTCAAAATTTTATACCGAACTAGCAATAATATTAATTTTTTTTCTCATCTTATTGATCAATGTTGTTGACAAACAATGTTTAGTAGACTACATGTCCAATACACGAAAACGCCTTTCAAACGCTAGCTCTGGTTCGATTTCGCTAAAAAATATATATTTTTAGTAGATTTTGATAAAAAAAAATGATGAAATATGTAAATGAAAAGTTAATAAAATTATGAACTCAATAAAATGTATGACTAAAAATAATTATTAATTTAAATTTAAATTATTATATAATTTTTTAGTTAAATTAGACATGGAATTAATATAAATCTAACCATTGCCACATTGCATAAAAAACCATTTGTACAAAAGAAGAACCATTTTTGACCTTTTAAAAAAGTGAAAATTTAGAAATTTATTTATCTATTTCATATTCGATAGGTAGGTAAGGCATGAAAGGAAAATGAAATCCCAAAATAAATAAATAATATATTCTATTGCAACAAACGTGCCTTCTTACCATGCTGGTAATTTCCTTAAATTATTCAACTTGTCATTATCCAAAAGTTTCTCTCTCCTCTCTCCCTACACTCTGTCGCCTATACGTGACGAGAATTTGGAAACCTGTGTAACTTCAACTACGATATTTTGGACGTTGAGTAGGTCTGTCTATTCATTCTCATTTTCTTCCTTTAAATGTAAATTTAACGTTACAACGGACACTACATGATTTGCTATTACTGTGTGTGCCAATGTCCTCCTTGATTGTTTTAACTCGATAACAAGAGTTGAATCAATGGCTTAGATGGTTGAAAATAACTTGTCTAATGCTTAATTATAAGAAATAAAATGGTTGAAGTGTTGATTTTAGATTGCACCTACCATTGTACCTTTTGTTGGCTTTACAATACAAGGACTTAAATTATGGTGGTTGGTGAAACTTACCTAGTCATTTGGCAACTATTTTTCATAGAGAACATGCTTAACTTAGCATTTCACATCTTCTATATTTTTTTTAGATAAATATTCCAATAAGAATTACTTGTCTCAAGTTTCTATTGAAGTCGAAATTTCATAAAGATCAATGACTAACTTAGTCAAACTCATACCAATTCAACTCAACAAATGTAATTATGCACTTATACTTTGATCAGTTTTATGTGAATTTTTAATGTACCATGCATTTGCACGTTAGTATTCGATAACAATTTATAGTAAATTGAATCCTAACTAGGATTCTTTGCCTTTTATCGAAGTTGTGGAGCCATGCCCATCGCAACGTATGGTTATGCTTCAAGTTGTTGTATGTTTCTTTATTAGTTTGAACACGCTTCATATGCGTGATACTTGATTAAAGGATTAGAGATTTAAATATTCTTTTATATGACCAAAGTTAGTGTGGCATCATTTTCCAAGCCAATTTATTTATTTGTTTGTATTTAACACATTTATAATTCTCTTTCATTTGTACAAGAACTTAATCCATCCATAAACAGTGCAAAAGCGGAATTAAATTTTTTAAAACAAGAAGAATGTTGAAAAGCTGGAAAATTTTGTAAGAGATAATTTAATTATATTGAATAATTGTTTAAAAATGTTATAAAATCATTGTTTACATATGCAAAATAGTGTCGAAATCTTGACGATATAAGAAAAATAAAAAATGTTACTAAAACGAAAGAAAATAAATATATTAAAGGAAACACGGTCCTAATTTAAACAGAAGTAAAAACCTACCATAATAATAATTAACTTCTATACTTTTTATAATAGGATCGTCCTAGATCATTCTTCCTCACTTATCGAAAAATAAAAATAAAAAATTCCTCGAATCTGGTGGAAAAGAGAGAAAATTAATCACTTGGGAGAAAAATTACCCCCAAATTGAGAATTTTGTACCTGTATTAGCACTATTAATATCTACAAATATGAAGAAAAATATTTTTTTTATGTCACGCTGCAATTTTCTCAAAAGGTTTAATAATTCAATCTCCCATCTTAATGTCAAAATTTTATACCGAACTAGCAATAATATTAATTTTTTTTCTCATCTTATTGATCAATGTTGTTGACAAACAATGTTTAGTAGACTACATGTCCAATACACGAAAACGCCTTTCAAACGCTAGCTCTGGTTCGATTTCGCTAAAAAATATATATTTTTAGTAGATTTTGATAAAAAAAAATGATGAAATATGTAAATGAAAAGTTAATAAAATTATGAACTCAATAAAATGTATGACTAAAAATAATTATTAATTTAAATTTAAATTATTATATAATTTTTTAGTTAAATTAGACATGGAATTAATATAAATCAAACCATTGCCACATTGCATAAAAAACCATTTGTACAAAAGAAGAACCATTTTTGACCTTTTAAAAAAGTGAAAATTTAGAAATTTATTTATCTATTTCATATTCGATAGGTAGGTAAGGCATGAAAGGAAAATGAAATCCCAAAATAAATAAATAATATATTCTATTGCAACAAACGTGCCTTCTTACCATGCTGGTAATTTCCTTAAATTATTCAACTTGTCATTATCCAAAAGTTTCTCTCTCCTCTCTCCCTACACTCTGTCGCCTATACGTGACGAGAATTTGGAAACCTGTGTAACTTCAACTACGATATTTTGGACGTTGAGTAGGTCTGTCTATTCATTCTCATTTTCTTCTATTATTCATTCACAATTGCTTGTGTGTAGGGATTTGAACGGTTCACCTAATTATCATTATTTGAGAAATATGAAGCTCGATAAGTTGTAATTTGAACGAGCGATAAGATCCCAGAAAAGTACTCCCCCTCTGTGTTTGGGTGGGAGTAGGGGTAAGGAGTGGGGGTGGATTTCGTTTTTTCTTCTATCTATAAATATGAGCTTCCGCCAACTGTCTTCTTTTTCCTTTCTTCTCCATTTTTACACTGCCACTCCCGTTTTCTCTCCGGCGATATAGCCGGCCGACGGCTGTCCTTCCTGCCGGAATATTCCTCGGATACCCCACTATTTCCTCCCTCCTACTGTCTGACTTTTCCTTCTAGTATATCTTCAAGGTTTGCTTTCTCTCTTATTATGTGTTTCTTTCTTTCTTGATTGTGAACTGGAGAGGATTTAGATCCAGTGTGTTTCTCTTAGGTTTGAAACTTTTTTTCTGTAACCCTTTTGAATCTTAACTCTATCTTGAGTCTTCTACAGTTTTTTTCCTGCTTCATCATTTTAAATTGCGGGCTCTTTGTTTTTCTCCATTTTAGCGAAGTTAAACTGGATCTTTGTGTTCTTCTGTAGATATTGGGTTTTTTGTTTGGATTCGATAATGTAGTTCATTTCTTAAGTCTCTCCAGCTCTCAAAATTTCCATCTATTTCTTGTTATTTTTTAATTTTTCCCCAGCTTTTTCTTACCTATTTAACAATTTTTTCACTGTTAGGTTGCATTTTAGATTTGTTAAATCAGGTGGAATTTCTTGTATATGGCTTTCCAAAAAGTCAACTTTCGAGGTCAGATAATATCTGGGGGCAGTTCAATGTTGGTTATTAAAAAAAAAAAAAAAAGTTTTAATTTGAAATTATCTTTAACCATTTCTACATTTCAATCGTGGATAAGATAAGATTATTTTGATATTGGAAGTTCGAATGATTCATTTCTTTGGGTTATGTAATTCTTGTTCCTTCCAATATGTGGGCTAGGATGTGTAAATGGTACAAAAGATTAGTACCATTTCACTTTGTTTTTTAATTGTTCTACTTTTTTGTTGGATAATATTGTATCGATTTTGATTATCATATTCTTTTACGATTTACACTTATATTTAGATTACTGATCTGTTTATTTCAATTATTTTGTTCTTTTATATCTTCTAGTTATGAATCTTATGATGATACACGCTGTGTATGGATATCTTTTATTGGTCTTTCTGTAGCATAGAGTATTTTGGGGGTTTAAAGAAATTGTAAGCCTATACACACACAGAGGTTTGCAGGCACATGCTCAGAAGAAGATATATATTTGTTGTATGCATAGTTTTTCTTCGATATTGTATTATATTGGCCTGATAGTGACTACCTTTTTGTGACACAGAGGATACTTAAGTTGAAAGGTGAAAGGTGATATGGATAGTACGAAGGTTATGGCTGATGGTACGAAGGACTTTGCAATTCGAAAAGTGAGTTCCCACTGCTCAATCTCCGAAATGGATGACTATGATCTCTCAAAGCTGCTAGATAAGCCCAGATTAAACATCGAGAGGCAGAGATCATTTGACGAGAGATCACTTAGTGAGTTATCTATTGGTTTGGCGAGAGGGTTAGACAATTTTGAGGGCGTATACTCACCTGGACGGTCAGGTTTGGATACTCCAGCCTCATCCGCTAGGAATTCTTTCGAGCCCCATCCAATGGTTGCAGATGCTTGGGAAGCCCTCCGACGGTCCTTGGTGCATTTTCGGGGCCAACCTGTTGGCACAATCGCTGCTTATGATCATGCTTCGGAGGAAGTTTTAAATTATGATCAGGTAAAGCTTGTTAGGGAAAGAAACAAGTACTGTAAGTTTATTGATCTTCTGGTAATTTAGATTTGATGATTATGATTTCCTACGATGGTCTGTTTTAATTTGATTTGAACTTAAGTTTAAGCTAAGTCAAAGTCAACAATTAATTTCAACAACATATTTCATGGGATCCACAACTTTTCAACCACACATTTCATCAACTTTTATTAAAATCTACTAAAAATTTGATTTTAGTTCCCGCCAAACAAGGGCTAAATAAAACAATACTGAAATTTGGTGAAAATTAATCCCTGTTGATATTAGTATTTATAATATTGGATTTGCTGCTGAGCTTGTGTTTTTTCCGCTTACTTTTGATGCTTTACTGTGTTAAGGTTTTTGTTCGAGATTTTGTACCGAGTGCATTGGCCTTTTTAATGAATGGTGAGCCAGACATAGTTAAGAATTTCCTGTTGAAGACGCTACAGCTTCAAGGGTGGGAAAAAAGAATAGATAGATTCAAACTTGGGGAAGGAGCTATGCCGGCTAGTTTCAAAGTTCTTCATGATCCACTACGCAAGACAGATACTATAATAGCTGATTTTGGTGAAAGTGCAATAGGCAGAGTAGCTCCCGTTGATTCTGGTTTTTGGTGGATAATTCTTCTTCGAGCATATACAAAATCCACCGGAGACCTGTCTTTGTCTGAAACCCCAGACTGCCAAAAGGGGATGCGACTTATTTTGTCTTTGTGCCTGTCAGAAGGATTTGACACATTTCCGACATTGCTATGTGCCGATGGGTGCTCAATGATTGATCGCAGAATGGTGAGACATCTTACCATCTTATCTTGATAACATTTATCAAGTTTAGAAAACAATGATTGGAGCTTACCAAGGGAAAGATATGTTAATGTATATTTTAGGACCTAGTCAGACCATAAGTATGCCAAGTCTAAAATGTTTTAAGACCGTATTAACAAGTAAGCAATTACAAGATAGTGGCATTATAAACATTCCCATCTAGATATTTTGGCGTGTTAAACGTATGATGTGAAGATTGAGTCTTGAAGCAACTGATGTTGGGAAGGAAACCTAATGTATAACATGGAAAGTGTTGTAAATATAGGTTCGAAGGGGAAGCAGATAACTTTTGGCTTTTATATAAACCTCACAGGTCAATTAGAACCCAAAATTGTGAGTCTGAGAGTTCCTTCACATGTGACTCAAAGACCTCTTAGGCTTATTCCTTTATATTTGGCTTCAAGTTGGAATTTTAATAACATGTTGCTTTAAATGCTTTACAGTCCATAGTCCTTTATACATTCTATTCTTTGTCCTTTATATTTTTCGATTCATTGTTCTTAGTTTTCCCCATATTTCTGGAACTTGTTCCATTTCTATTACTTATTCATCTACGTAATAAATTTAGATATAGAAATCTAACACGAAGTGTAAAGGCCACTTCATGACTTTATTAGAGTTTTTCTGCTTGTGCAGGACAAATTCATTTTGAATTTACTTTACAAAATTTTCCACATTTTTCATGTATATACTAATGGCTCATGTTCAATTTTCCAGGGAATATATGGTTATCCTATTGAGATTCAAGCTCTCTTCTTTATGGCATTGAGAAGTGCTTTAGTAATGCTGAAACATGATGCGGAGGGCAAAGAGTTCATTGAGAGAATAGTTAAGCGTTTGCACGCCTTGAGTTATCACATGAGAAGTTATTTTTGGCTTGACTTCCAACAATTAAATGACATATATCGGTATAAAACCGAAGAATATTCTCATACTGCAGTTAATAAATTCAATGTTATTCCTGATTCAATCCCTGATTGGGTGTTTGACTTTATGCCAACCCGTGGTGGTTACTTTATCGGTAATGTTAGTCCTGCGAGGATGGACTTTAGATGGTTTGCTTTAGGTAATTGTGTCGCTATCTTATCTTCTCTTGCTACTCCTGAGCAAGCTTCGGCTATCATGGATCTTATTGAATCGCGGTGGGAAGAGCTTGTTGGAGAAATGCCTTTGAAAATAGCTTATCCGGCGATTGAAAGTCATGAATGGCGTATTGTGACTGGTTGTGATCCTAAAAATACAAGATGGAGTTACCATAACGGAGGATCTTGGCCAGGTTATTTTGTCTTTCACGTTATTTAAAGTTAATACTTCGCTGCTACATGAAAAATTAAACGTAAATCATGTCATTGATGGAAAAAATCTTTCTTGTTCTAAGATCCCGGTTCTAATTTGATTAGGTACTACTCATCATACCTCATCATCTAAAAGTTTAAATTTTGTCTTCAACGCATCCCTCATGTACATGGTGGATTCACTTTTTATAGAAGGCCTAACACTCGGTTTCATAAGTGGTGGCAAGACTTGGAAGTTAGATTCTGTGTGTCTTCTGAATGACTATATTTCGTAAGTTTAAGCTATTAGAGAAGAGATGTATGTATTTATATGAATTGTCTTCAATAGTTACTTCTATTCCTTGCACCGAATTCTTGCATGAAAGAAATTACTAATCCCTTTATCCTCCTCTCCTACTTTTAAATATATATTTCTCATCAAAAGTTATCTAACTCATCCGTCTTGTTTTGCAACACTTCTGCATCCCAAATCCAGTGCTTTTATGGTTACTAACGGCTGCCTGCATCAAGACTGGACGGCCGCAAATTGCAAGACGAGCAATTGATCTTGCAGAGAGCCGTTTGCTCAAGGACAGCTGGCCTGAATATTATGATGGGAAACTTGGAAGATATGTAGGGAAGCAAGCTCGAAAATACCAGACGTGGTCCATTGCTGGGTATCTCGTGGCAAAAATGATGCTGGAGGACCCTTCACATTTGGGGATGATCTCACTTGAAGAGGACAAACTAATGAAGCCCGTGATTAAGCGATCTTCCTCGTGGACTTGCTGAGCAGATCTCATAATCGCAGACCATAACACGGAGCACTAGAGAAAAACAAAGGTGCATCGTCTTTTGTTTCATCCAAGGATAACAATTTTTTAGGCTATTTCTGTCATTGTGTGTTTCGAAAATTTGGTTTCGTGTACATTAGCATCTCGTTTCTTAAAATAAGAAAAAACAGTTATGTATTTGTTTTTAATTTCTTGATCATTTTGATCGTGATGTTAATATATGGGCTAAGGCACCGTTACGACACTGAGTTCTAAAGTTTGAGTGCCACTGAAATCGTATCTTGAACACCATATTATACTTTCAAAATCTTGAAATTTATTAAATGATATCATGAAATTGTAGGAGCGAATGCATAAAAAAATTTGACATCAACATAAAAGAAAATATTGGAAGTTTTAGCGGTCTTAATATCAAATCAATAATCTAATAAGTTCATAAATAAATAAAAGTAAGCCTCGTGGATTTCTTTTACTTGTCAATTTATCAGCCCTCTCATGCATTAATTGCCACGAATCATAAATTTTCTGAAAGTGATATAAGGAAGGGGGTGAAATAAAATCTCAATAAGCATATAAGTACATGGATTGATATTGTAGGGAATCTAAGGAACGTCGTGCATGCTTACATACATATTACATATATAGTGAGACACGAAAATCTATACTAAATGTGGGTGGTATGAAATTTTTATAAGTGTTACCATACGCCGGTTCAAACTTAAAATATATATAAAGAACTTCATAATCAATGTTCCAAAAATCTAACGTACACATATAATCCCATAAAAATACTTATACACTTACCATATCTCGTGAAGATGATAAGGGAAATACTAGAATATATTTGGAACTTCAATTCTTGACCCATGTTCTAAATAATATACTGTATTTGTATTTGTGTGTATTTCACAGAAAAATGAATGTATTTTTGAAAATGGAACATATGATATATATTTATAGGGACCACCATGATTTGAGAGTTCTAAATTAATTGAACTTTGAATTTTAAAAGTGATAAAATCTATCATTGTCTTAACATTAAATAAAGTATTAATAAAATTAAAGTATTATCTAAGGAATTTGATTTTCTCACAATCATTTAAAATTTCAATATAATTAAAAGAGATAAAATTTAAATATTATCTTTATTATTTGATTAAATTTAAATAAGGTTTTAACCACTTGGGCTTAGGC